TGGGGCCCTCTGCTGGGGAGGCTAGTTGAATGGAGAACTGTGCCGTTGTCATTTTGCTGACTGATAGACATGAAATAGACAGTTGAATGTGGGCGAAACCAGGCGAAGATGGTTCAAGTAGGGAGAAAGGAACAGAGGGGAAGAACTAAAGAGGTGGCACAATGAATTTGACTAGGGTTGCGGGGTCTTGATGTGGTAAGCAGCCCTGAGCCAGCCCTAGCACATTTATTCACTAGTGGAGGGTGCTACAATTTGCATACATTGTCAGAAATTGGAAGTAGGGCGCCGCAAGGTGTACGTCTGTTGGAGTATGAGGTTACATGGGGCTAGACTACGGTACTATCCGCATAGAATTTCGAGAACCTCGTTTTAGGCGGGCAAATAGCTAATAAAGAAGGGGAATTTGGGATAAAGAATTTGAGAGTGAGGATTTTATTAGCCGGGAGGTAGGAGAATATTGACGCTATAAATAGGCGCGCTATGCTTTCTAAGAGGGAGGGCCCTACTATATCGCGAATAGAGCTGAGAAAAAGCGTATAGATTGAATATCGGGGGTTTTCCCTTAGGAGTATTAGTGACTATTATAATGTTAGTATCCTAAGAAACCTAGAATTCCGGATAAAGAGAGAAGCTACTAACTAAAGTTTCTAGGCCAAGCTAGTCGCGAATCTGCTCTTCTAACGGTAGATCCGAGCTGGGTGTCTCACCCTCGTCTATATCTAACGCATATCGCTCCGGAGGGGGACCGACGCCGTTAAAGATATCGATCATAAGAATCTGGCCGATATAAATCTGGTCCGTGACGCGTTGGGTGGCCAATTCGAATCCCTCTGACGAGAGACTCTCGTCGTCCTCGAATTCACGCTGCGCCTTGTCAACATAACTACGGGTGCTAGAAAACGAGCGGTTGAAGTAGAGCAAGTCTGGGCCTTCGCCTAGCTTAGCAAGCTTATCCGAGTCCTCAACATAGCCTAGTCGATAGCTGTGCGATCGTAGCAGCACACAAAACCCAACGGTTGAGTAGTCGTCAGGACGAATGAATCGCGGAATCAGCGGGAGTGGATTCTCGACCCCTGACCGGTGTTGCTGCTTACGACGGGCGATTTCAATACGGTTATGCTTAATACAGGCAAAGCCGTCGGGCGGGCAGTATGAATAAATCTCGAACAAAGGCTTGACCTCATCATCCCAGAAACTTTGCATCAGGTAACGCCGGAGATTTTTGTGGTCGTCATCCAGGGGTACAAGGCTGTAGACCTGGATGGGAATTATGTGGTCGGGGTCTGGCTCGTAGTCTGGCGTGACGTACTGCTCGAGCACCACGCGGTGACCCAGATAGTCAGCATAAGTGCGCACTTGCTGCCATTCACTTTGTGACATGGCGACTTGGGCGTTTGGATTATTTGAAGAGTAAACAGATTTAAGTTGAAAAAGACTTGTGAAGTAAATAAGGGGAGCAACGGACTTACGTGTGGACCCCCAAGGGCAGGACGTTTACGTAAGCGAGGGGAAGATCGACAGTTAGTTAGGGCTATTCGACTCAACTTATAAGTTGCAACTTGAAGTAGTTACTGCCTAGGTGGTCTCAACTCTGACCACTATATATAGACATTTATATACACCCCGAATATCAAATCTACTACAGGCCCAGCTTTCCTAGCTGATTGTCTCCCCACATTCCGTACTTACTCTGATCATTTGATGAACTTGTCGCAGTACCGGGAAGTGGCTTACCCGGGTTCTTCTGTGGGAACTTGAAGTTGCCCACTGCTGCATCGCCCGTCATCATAGTTTGGGCTTCAAACTTCTTCGCGTTTGCGTCGTTCACGCCTAAGCCTTCCATCTTGCCCTTAGCAGTCTTGTGCCAATCCGCCTGCACCTGTTCAACCTTGTCCAAGTGCCTGTCGATCCAGGCCCATAGGGTAAGTAAGCCCCAGTGATTGGCATCGCGGGGGGCCTTAGGCATTCCGAGCGCCTTGCCCGCCGGTTTGGTGTAGACATATTGGCGGGTGTATTGCGTGTCGAATTCGTCAGAGATCAATTCGACGTTTTGGCTGGGCTTGCTCCATTTTCGCTGAAGTCTCGCAGGTAGTCGAAGACAGTGGCGCTCATCATGACCTTGTCCGCTACACCCTTCGCACCGGCGGGCAGACTAGACATTTTTCCTTCGGTGATGACCTGTTTGACTCCGTTGGGCGTTTTATGGTAAAGAATGAGCAGGTCAAGGTTGGCGCCACTTCCTAGGAAGTCTGCCGCATGTTGGACCCAGTTCTTGTTGGGACCGTTGTTCCTCGACCAAGTCATTCCAACACTAGGACCTGTACAGATATCGTTAGGTTATGTCAACCCGCTATTCATGGTTTTTGTATATTTTACGGCATATTTTTCGGATGATTTATGGGCTTGACGTCCACTATTTTCTTTGTTATTTGTCGATAATTGGTGTCGTCTCTCGGGCTGGCTCTTGAGAGCAATCCCCGTATAGCAGCATGTATGTAAAGCGAGCTAGATCGGGTTAATTGAGATCATCATCATCATCAACAACAACAACAACCCTCGTTGTCCCTAGCGACTCTTGCTTATTTTTGATGAGCGGGTTATCTTAGCGATCTAAAACAAAGTATCAATCTAGAAAGAGCACTTCTAAGGATCTTAGAGCAAATTGTATTGATTAGGTTTGAGAAACTAGGACGAGAAAGGGCAAACTGACTATATTGCCTAAACTGGAGACTGGGGAAAGGAAGAGAGAAGGAGAAGAGGAAAAGAGCTATGAAGTTCTGAATGACTAGGAGATCGGTCACTCGATCTCCGACAGGGTCCCAGGTAAATCAAGCATCACTCCGAGAGTTCTTTTTGACCTTCTTACCGATCTTTCGGGGCACTTTGCCCTCCCTAGGTCGTTTAGGTCGGCTGTTACGAACGAGTTTTCCATCATTATCATTGAATGCCCCTCCCAAATATCTTTCAAGCTCGGGGTGTCTTCTGAGCAATCCCTTATGTCGTTCATCAACAAATATGTATCTCCGGGGCCTTCTGGTAACTTCGAGGCAAGCTATCCCCATCTAGCTCATCAACAAGTCGATTTGCTTTGTAACAAGCCTGCCAGGAATCCGAAGAGGGATACTCGACTGCTATCTCACGGTCGTCCGAGTCTCTTACGCCGATAGGAATCGCCAAACGAGAACCAGGGTCTTCGAGGGTTGCCTCTGTGGGCCATGCATGAGGATGCTTCTCACCAACAGGAGCAAACTCGGCTTTGACCCCAAAGCCACTAGCTGGCTGAAGTTTGGTCTTGATGCCGAATCCCACGTGGCGGGTGGTAAGCTGGTAGCAGTCTTCCGCTCGCCGCCCTTTGTGCCCTTGGTGCTTTGACCCTAGCATCAACCTTATTGAATCTGCCTGAGCTTCATCAAGTTTTCTTTGAGCTTCATCAAATTTTCTTTGAGCTTCATCAAATTGGATCAGGCGCTCGGGTATACTAGGGGTTTCCTGAGCTTCAGGAAGAGAAACTTTCAACCCGATAGCTTCACCAATCAATGAATCCTCCATTGCTTAATCTGTTGCTGATTTACAGATAAGAAGGAGGTATAATACAAAAGCTTGTGCGGCATCAAGGAGAAAATTGGAACACTTCCCATTGAGTTGTGGGTTCCAATTGTGAAGCTGCGCGAATGTGACTCTCAACACGTTCTGTAAAAGCGAGCAAGGATCTCCATTAACAATAGCATGCCTAGAAAATTTTAGCATATGGAATTTATTGCGTGGAATTTATGATTGACTTACCAAGTGTAGCAGTTTGAGGTAGTTCCCGTCGGGGTGGGAGCAGGGGGCTTCATATACGTCGATGTAATTGTTCCATTAGTAGTGGCGTTCCAGTTTGCAGTCGGATAGACGCAGTAAAACAGACCCGGGAACAGGTTTAAGCAGGCTGCGTTGATGGCTAGATTGATTGTAAGGAAAAAATCAAGGCCGATCGAGTATATGAGGGAATGACGAGGAAACTCTCAAGCTGAAGCTGGACTATGCCAATAACCACTATCTTAGCGGTACCATTGCATAGGCCGCGTCGACAGATGATTCCGGGGGCACAGCTTCGGCGGCACTATAGAAAGTGACGGGTGATATCGCTCTACCAGCCAAATCACTTGCTTCTACCACTGACCCAGTTCATCTTGCTAGTTAGGCGAATGGGGCGAGTCTTATCCGAACGGCCTTAGCCCTGCCTAGCGGAGCTATGGCAAGAATAGAGATAACGGGTACTAACACTAGATGCCCGAAGGGCAAATCCCGTCTCTACTGCTATATAAGTGACAATATGCCCACTTTCGAGCGGCGTGGCGTGGCGGGGCTCTATTTTACAATGGCAAATGCCATAAGGGAGAGGTTGAAGTGTCAAGCAGCATTAGTGGAACTGGAAAGAGTCGTTGGACTGGACAAAGCGCTTTCCTGTACGCAGACCGCGGCTAACAAAGTAGTTGCTGAGTGTGGCTGGTCAGGAAGTGTGTCTTTCTGACCAGAATCTATACCAATACAGGCTGTACCTCAGGACGAATAAAGCTTAATGTATTAGGAACTAAAGAGATAAGCTTCCTTTAAGGGATAAGGCCGGTATGACTTTTTGCCTTTCCGTTATATCATCACTTGCAGCGATGCGTCCTTACCGGTCTTGGCACTGCAATGTATCTCTAGCAAAAAAAAAGCAGTGACCGCGGATCGAGCGGGTCCTTGAGATTTGCAATCTAGTATATTGTTAGAGAGGATTCGACGATTTAAAGAATGATTACGTAATTCAATATGTATCCTGAGGTCCCGAGGTCCATGGATGGATTCTAAGGTTGCCCCGCTAGTCGAATACATATGTACGCTATAAATTAATTTGAAACATCGGTACTTCGAATAATTTAACTAGCCTAGTAGATCTAGAAATAAAAAAGGAAATTAAGGCAAAGACCCAAACCCGACTTCTCTATTGAATTTTAAATGAAAATTGTTTCGACATACGAGCACCGGTAGCTCATCGGTAGAGCGTGCGATTGCAATATCGGCAGTTATCGCGAGGTAGCGTGTTCGACCCACGCTCGGTGCTTTCTAATTTTCTTATTTTTTTTCCGCGATCGACCGAACAACGAAAGCCCAAACACGCCCGGCGCCGAGGCTCCCGGAAGAACACAGGCCAGCCGCACGAGACAGCCGAAAGACAGTTAGGTGTTAACCAGGCCCCGAGAACTATAACCGAGCCCGTGAAAATATTATAAAAAGGAGAAAGTGTGGCCGTTTAGGGAAAGATATATAAGATATTTTTATATGTACATTTTCTAAACTGACTGGTTATTTAATACTAACATTACTTTACGTGCAAATCTCGAAGTCCCGCTCGATCCGCGGTCATTGCTTTTTTTTCCCACCGCCTTCAGTGACAGCAGCTAACTGACGACGGCTGCCAGCACGGGGAGCTCGATATTGTGAAGAAAGGGTGAGGTTGCTTACGATAGGAGCCAACTGCGGGCACTCGGCCACCAGAGGATCTCGGCTATGCTATTGCCCTAACTACTTGATTTTGACATTCATTAATCAACCTCTTCATCCCAGAAACCCAATAACTAAGCTTCTTGAATAGAACATATAAAAAGCTCGAAGTCAAGGGGTTTCAACCTTACTCTCTCTTGAATTTACTAATAATGACTCAGCATATTGCCATATGCATTTAAATGGTAGCGTTACAAGGGTACTTCCGAAGGCCTGCTTAGCGACTTTGGCCCCCACGTGTCATCGTGCAATCAAACAAGATGCTCCCATATTGAAGGGCGCTAATGCTTCGAGAGCTGTTCACCTCGTGGTTTTCCACTTGCGATGAAATTTAAATTAAAATCTCGCAGTTTTCGAAGTGATCATTCCCAGGATCACGCTAGTCCTCGAGTCAGAGAAATTCTAGATACTGTAGTGACTGTGTATCTGGAGAGAGCAGGGGGCTGGGCATGCGCTGCCTAGGGCGAATCGCCAGAGGCAGGGGCGACCAATTCTAATTTAAGCCCCTCCCTCGGCTTGGGTTGCTTTGCGTCGCTTTGCGTCGCCTTGCGTCGCCTTGCGTCGCTTTGATTGCCATTTACCCCATTTAATGCTCGACTAAATCAACTCCTGAATTGTTTCCCACTGGACTATCTTGCGATCATGGGCAAGGCATCTCCGCAATATCAGAATGGGTACAACCATCCTCAAGGATTGGGGTACATAAGCTCGGTTCTCGATTCATGTACCCAGCTGGACGAGATTGTCCATCGTGGCCGGAACATCGTACTTGATGGGCATTCGCTGGACTTAAGCTCAGTGGTTGCGATCAGTCTGTATGTGGATTCCTCGCACCGTCTTCTTCCTTGAGACAGGTATTTGAATTGGACACTGACAAGCAAATTAAGGCATAAAATTGCGGCCGACATCACCGACAGCGAAACTGTGCTATCTCAATTGGAACGCAGTGTAGATTTACTCGCGGAAAAGCTTGAAAAGGGGGAAGTGATATATGGAGTGACTACTGGATTCGGCGGGAGTGCCGACACTCGCACGAACGATTATGCCGCCCTTCAGCAGGCATTGATCCAGCACCACCATTCCGCCGTGGTTCTGCCTGGAGAGCGAGAATCCGGAGCAGGCCCAACGCGCCTGGAATTTTTGAAAAGTCATGCGATGCCTATTCCCATTGTTAAGGCGGCTATGTTAATTCGCTGCAATTCCTTACTGCGAGCACATTCGGCCGTTCGCATTCAGGTTGTTCGAAGTATTCTTGTTCTCCTCGCTCATGATATGACACCAGTGGTACCACTGCGAGGAAGTATTTCCGCTTGTGGGGACCTCACACCTTTGGCGTACATCTGCGGGGCGATTGAAGGGAATCCTGATATAGCGATGAATTGCGGGGAGGGTCAGAACCATCGAATCATCCCGGCCAGCCAGGCTCTCCAGGAAGCAGGGTTGACCCCGCTTGAATTTGGGCCAAAGGAAGGTCTAGGTCTTTTGAACGGAACTGCATTCAGTTGTGGTGCAGCCACTCTAGTTCTGTTCGAGGCAAATCAGCTGGCCATTTTGTCGAAGTTGCTCACCGCGATGGGGACAGAGGCTTTGCTGGGATCACGGTACAACTATCATCCGTTCATCGCCGAGGCTCGACCTCACCCAGGCCAACTGGAGTCAGCCGCGTTCATTTTCGAATGCTTGGCTGATTCTAAGCTGGCGCGTGGCGCGGATCCCGATGGGGAAGGCCTGGCGCAAGACCGGTATGCGCTACGCACATCGACGCAGTGGATCGGTCCACAGCTAGAGAACCTCGCACTCGCACTTGAACAAGTCCAGACGGAACTAAATTCTACCACGGACAACCCACTCCTGGATCTTGCCGAGGAGCGGGTTCACCACGGAGGAAACTTCCAAGCAGCAGCGATAACATCGGCAATGGAGAAAACCATGGGCGTGATGCAGATGCTAGGCAAAATGATCTTCTCGCAGTGCTCGGAGATTCTCAACCCGATGCTTAATAAAGGACTGCCACCAAATCTCAGCGCTGACGATCCGAGCCTCTCGTTTGCGTTCAAAGGTGTTGATATCAATATGGCTTCGTATATGTCTGAACTGGCATATCTTAACCACCCGGTCAGCAACCATGTGCAGTCCGCAGAGATGCACAATCAAAGCCTGAACTCTCTGGCTTTGATTGCCGCTCGTTATACAGGCGACACTGTCGAACTCCTGGCGCTAATGTCTGCGACATACCTTTACGTTCTGTGCCAGGCCTTGGATCTTCGTGCTATGCATCTTGAGTTCGTGTCTCAAGCTCGCAAGGACGTAGATAATGCAAATGCGCTGCTGTTTCAGTCGAGCGGCGCGGGTGCGCAGCTCTCATACAGCCAAGAAATCATCTGGAAAGAACTTATGAGCCACTGGGAGAGAAACAGCACTAGTGATCTACACAAACGGAGCCAAATCACCGCCACTGATTCCTTGGGTGTCGTCCTCGATCTTCTGGGTGACCAGGTCGTTGGGAAAGAACTTCGACAATGGAAGAGTAACGTCGCCAGTATTTTGGAGACGAGGTACGGAGCGAACCGAAAAATCTTCTTCCAGAGCAAATCGGCCGCACCCTATCTCTGTAATTCATCACAGAAGCTCTATGGGTTCGTGCGTCAGAGCCTTGGGGTGGCCATGCATCGGGGTCTGGTGGATCATCCAGCCTATGACTCCGGCGAAAAGATTGTCAAAGAATCAATCGGGTCGCATATCGGCAAGATATACGCGGCTTTACGAGCGGGCGAGTTTCGTGAGGTTATTCTGAGCTGCTGTGGCAGATAGGGGGCCCGCCTAAAGGAGTTTAAGGGGCCTGTCACCTGTCATGTGTTGGTTGAATATTAGGCATATCATGAAGAGAAATTAATCACCGGCTATTTTCATCTCATAAGGTTACAATAGATCTGATTTTGATGGGTCCATCTTGTTTAGTTGATCCCTTGAAATTTGGTAGATTCTCTAATGACACTGTCTTCTTGAATTCTTCGGATATCAGCCCTCCCAGGTTACCTCCATAATGGAGAGATACGATTTAGACGGCTGGGATATTCTCATAACATTAAATCGCAAGTCTGTTTCTCTAAAAAGAGATTTCCAATCATCTGGTGTGCGCTCTTGAGCATTCTGCAAACCAAGCATGTACATATCGTAGTCCCTGGTTCTTTTTATCAGTATATAGTCCCATAACCCCAATGAATATGAAGCTCGTACCGTGCTTCACGCTCTTTCAAGTAATGTGCCTCTCCATAGCCGGGAATGATGCGATCATTTAGTACCACCTTGGCCCCGGGCTTCAAAGCTGGTATCAAAGCCTGCAGGATCTTCCGCGCGTATTTATTGGACCAGTCATGCAGTACATGACGCAATAAATAAACATCAGCGCCATGTACCGGTTGGTTTTGGAAAAAGTCATGGGTTTGGAAGCGGATACGATCCTGGAGGTTAACCGGCAAAGCTTGTTCTGCCTGAGAAATAACCTCGGGGCGATCTTGTACAATGCACTGAACTGTTGGGCAGTGATCCGCGAGTGCACGGGCGATATGGCCGATGCCACCGCCTACATCGACGACCGTGATATCTCCAGATCCGAACGGGAAGTGATCTATTAGATACTGCGGAGAGTAGCCAGGTAGCTGAGCGTGCCAACTCATGGCTGTAGCAAAGATCTTCGCACGTTCAGGCATGTTGGCGAGGGCTTGGAAGACCGGGAGATCAGTGCCATTTTGTATACTCCATCCCTGCTGCTATTAGCTAACTTGCATTAAATAGTCACTGGAATGATTACGCTATGTTGTGGCTCTTCAGAGTCATTGTTCTGCGATACAGCTTCGGCAATCTGGGATATCAGCTTGGTATGGACGGGAGCTTGGTATACTTATCGCATACTTTAAGGGCACCAGGCATGGTCTCGCCAAGTCCGACCAGCATCCAAGAACGCATACCCTCATTCTCCGTTAGAATACGGGAGCCAGCTGTGTGGATGAAAAAATCAGGCTCTTCTTGGAAGAAGACATGATAGGTGGCGGCATGAGACATCAATCGGCGAACAAAATTTTCATTGCGATTAACGCGCTGTGCTAGATCTTTGATGGTGGTTCCCTCACTCGGAAAATTTTCAAAGATCTTCAGGCGAATCAATGCCAATACACTCAAAGAAGGGTTACGCTAAAGAGGTTAGTCAGTCTGAAAAGCGTAATTTTCCCTTTACTCACCAATTCAGGGCTACCCAAGAGTGCTGGATCGGTTAAAAGATCACGTAGCTCATCTAGCAAGCCCAGGAGCTTCATGCGTGCGGCTAGGGCATTTGAATCCGGCGCATCGGTCTGCAGCACAGCGGGTAATCCATGTTCGAAAGAAGGCTCGGGGATTCCCTGCGAAGACAGATCGCCTGCTAGGCTGCGAACAACCTCAGCAATTTCGGTGGCGCGACTGTTGAGGTTTGCACGGTCCATTGAGAGCAATGGTGAGGTATATTTTGAAATTAATTTTGCGAAGAGCGCTTTCACTCAAAAGGAAACCACCACTTCTTAAAGGATAGCACTGGCAGGTAGCACGAAGTACTTCCACTGTAAACCTGAAACCATATTCTTAGCTGCTCGCTTATACAGGTATGGCATGGTTCTTTCGGAACAATGAGCGCAACCCTCAGGAGTAACTCCTCTCTTGGCTTTTGGGGTCGCCCCAGCCAAGCCCAGAAGCCCTCTATTGAAAACGCGCTATTGTACGCCACCTGCAACGTGATGAAAGCACACTAGGGCTTTTATCTACGTTTGGCATGGGGCACCTTTCAAGACAGGGATTATACTGGATTGTTGGGGGCCAAAGGATTTTCGTTACGTGGTCATCGCCCTGGTCGGCTTGAACTTCCGCGTTAGCGTGGTGGTGTTTTGATGAGAAAACAGGGATTAATGCTTTCTACGATGACAAGGTACCAAAAAAAAAAACAGTATTGTATTGAAAACAGTACAGCATATTTACATTTCATATAACCTGACTGTGGAAAGAAATAAGAGAAGTAAAGCAAAGAAAGAAAGTCGAGTATTAGGAGAAACTTGCGGGCTTAGCTAGCTTTCCTCCATTATTCCTGTCAAAACTGAGAGAGGATGAGGCATCTCCTTTGAGTCGTCGCCCGAGCGAGGTCATTTCGACTTCAAGTTGGTCGTCGGGGTCCTTGCGCTGCTTGTTGGAATTGATTGAGTAATACTGATTGCCTTTGAAGTGTGAGCCGTTTGAGGAGGTACTCGTCTTCTTGAGATTCGTGCAGGCCTGGAAGAAGGCAGGTATGAAGGGCAAAAGGCCGGCCATCAAAACGAAATCGTTCTCGACACGATTCCAAATGCCGAGTTGGGCACAGAGGTCTGCCAAGTTTAGCCTCAGGACTGATAAGTGTCAGCTGGGAGAGACGCTTACATATGAGGTCCAAGGGACCTGGACCGGCAAGCAAAAATGTCATATAATAGAGCTTGACCACAGAAAAAGCAAAAGCTCTGCTTGGATTAGTTTGAGTTGAGTAAAGGGGATGGTTTTACTTACACCAGCCCCAAGCTCATAAGTCCAATTGTACTGATTTTCTTCCAGCGGGCCATTTGCAGCTTCCAAACCACAATGGCTGGATATACGGAGAAGGCAATGTTGATGAACGAGGAGATGGCGCATAATACGCAGGCGTAGGTGATCTGGATCGAGCGAGGCCAGCACTTGGCCGTGGGATATTTGTAGGGATTCCATTGTCCGGCCACCGGGTTACACATTACCCAGGTTATTATGAAGCCAACAACTGCCAGTACGTTAATTGTCACGCAAAGACCCCAGATGACAACCCGGAGCCAGAGTGCCGGTCGAAATAGGCGAACAAGTAGAATAGCGACGCAGACTTTGGGAAGCTCTATGCTTAAAAATGACCAGTTGTTCATCAGGATCGCCCAGAAAGCAGCCCTGGGGACGCTGACCGGTAGATTAGTGGCGCCGAGACCTTTCGCGGCATTCAGCGCTACCTGAAAAATGGCAGCTTGCACGATAGCAAAACTCCAAGAAAGAGTTAACATGAAGTCTTCCCAGTAAGACTTCTGAGTTGTATGCCGCAACTGCGCAAATATGCGCATGAAGAATAGCACAGTGCTGATGCCTGCGGACGGCCATGTTACCGCAGAGGCAACAATGACGATGTGGTCGATTTGCTCATCAGTAACCATGGTTCGAGTTGCTCGAAGAGGAAATGGCAGTCATGATAGGAATAAGTGGGCTCTTTGTACTCTTGGATAGCCTAAACGGAGGGGTTCCTGAAGCTTTGTGATTTATTCTCTTAGTCGGCATGTGTACCGCTAAATGGCGCCTAGGTTGATGTTTGCGTGGCCCCTGGCAGGCGTAATAATGCATGATGCATGCAAGCGATGTAACCAACCTTAAAGCGTGCGTCTTGTTGGCCCCGTGCTTTCCAAAACTGGGTCCGGCCCCCAAAAGGCGTAAGCATGAAAGTCGATGTAACCAATTGAACATCTACATATACAGGTACAGAGTAAATTCGGGCTTGCGATATTGAACGGATCAAGCCCAGTGCCAAATAGGGCGCTAGTGTATCTGTAACGATAGCGGGATAATAGTATAGGGCCAAACAAGCCGATGCCGCTGTAGCCCCCTGTTTCCCATGAAGATAAATGAACGGACGCATAATCCTTTCGCCAATTGCTCCTTTTACTTATCGTCCCATCGTTCCATCTTTCATCTATTAAAGTGCCAAGGACATCAAATATGGATCCTATCTTAAAATTCAATATCAGATCTCTTCTAGATCAAGTAGCAGCCTTGTCCGCTGGAATTATTGCCTACCCTGAAGGCAACCGAACTCATCCGGTAAAGCTCAGCTATGCCGAACTGCGCAATCAGGCATTACAGAGAGCGTCCTGGCTGCGAAGGCGTGCAGAATTTCGCCCCGGGGGTGTCATCCTTGTCCATTTTCAGCATCATTTGGATAATATCACATGGTTCTGGGCCACCATCCTGGCTGGTAGTGTGCCAGCCCTATCTCCTCCTTTGGTTAGCACGAGCGAGGGCCGTAAAGCCCATTTCAAACATCTACACAATATGTTGCAAGATCCTTTGCTGCTCAGTCGTCGGGATTTACTCACAGACTCGTTCGGGGAGAACGAAATTCTACGTACTGTGGCAGTGGAGGAATTTGAAGATTCTGGCCTCAAAGAGACGGAATCAGACAGTGCTACCTACAGCCAGATCAATGGAGATGGTGAGGGTCATGCCAACGACAGCGATGTAGCTGTCCTCATGCTCACTTCTGGAAGCTCTGGCAACTGCAAGGCCGTGTGCCTGACGCACCACCAAATGTTCGCCTCGATTCGTGGGAAATTGGCGGTGATGCCAGTTAGCAATGGCAGTTCCGTGCTCAATTGGATCGGTCTAGATCACGTTGCCAGCCTGATGGAATCGCATCTTCTTTCTATGTACGCGGGAGTCGACCAGATCCAGGTCCAGGCACCCGAGGTGCTCAGCAATCCACTGCTATTCTTGCGGTTGCTATCCAAGCATAAAGTCTGCATGACCTTCGCCCCGGACTTTTTCCTGCGCAAGCTTCTAGAGACGTTGGATACGACATCCAAAGAGGCTAAGCAAGAATTCAATCTCGGCAAACTACTCTATTTGGTTTCGGGTGGAGAGCCTAACAATGTCGATACTGGTTCGCGAGTTACAAGGCATTTACAAAGCCTGGGAGCTTCACCATCAAACATCATCACCCCGGGTTTTGGTATGACTGAAATTTGTGCGGGAGCCATTTACAATCGCAATTTCCCTGATATCGATATCAAGGCGCAACGCGAAGCTGGTGCTCTTGGCTCCAGCATTCCAGGCATCGAGATAAGGATAGGGCCCATTGACGTAAACGAGCCCAGCCCTGGACCCCAGTCCAATGGCGTGGACGGTGGCGCAGCCAATGAAGCCGGTGTACTGGAAGTACGTGGACCTGTCGTGTTCTCAAGATACTTCAACAATGACGAGGCTACCAAGGCCGCTTTCACGGAGAATGGATGGTTCCGGACAGGAGATCTTGGTACAATCGATGCAGAGGGCCAGCTAAAGCTGGCAGGTCGACTCAAAGAGTTGATCAACATTAATTCTGTCAAATTTCTACCATATGAGATCGAAGGTGCTATTGAACAAGCACGTATTCCAGGAGTGGCCCCTTCGTTTGTCGTGTGTTTCTCCCACAAGGAATCCAGCACCAGCCCGGAGGAAATTTACGTCGTATATCAACACGATTTCGCAAGTGATGATATCGAGGCCCGCATGTCGACGCTGCACACGCTGATGCGCACTGTTATTCTGTTTACATCCGCACGGCCACGAGTCCTGCCCTTGCCGCCTGGTCGCCTGGAGAAGACGACCCTAGGAAAGCTATCGCGGCCGAAAATTCAAAATGCGTTGGCAGAAGGGAAATACAAGGACCAGGAAATCTTTAACGATCGGGTACTACAGGCATATCGAGAGTTGCACTTCTCCGGGCCTAGCAATGATATTGAGCATAAGCTTGTGGCGGTTTTCAAGAAGACGCTCGGAATCCACAAGGACATTGATATTGATATGCCGATTCTAGATACTGGAATTACTTCAGTGGACTTGATTCGATTGAAGAGAGCTGTTGAGGTGGATTTCGGGATTGAAGATATTCCCATGATCACCATCCTGACCAACACAACCATTCGATCCCTGGCAGCGGCTGTCCAGAAGCTTAAGGCCTCAGATCTCATTAGCGTGTATCAGCCAGTTGTCACGCTACAACCACACGGATCCAAGACGCCTTTGTGGCTGTTCCATCCGGGAGTTGGCGAGGTTCTAGTCTTCCTCGCGTTAGCTCAGCATTTCCCGGACCGGCCCATCTATGCAATGCGACCACGCGGCTTCAACCCGGGCGAGGAAACTTTCCAGGATCTCGCTGACCTCCATGCGACATACTACGGTGCCCTGAAGAAAAAACAGCCTAGTGGGCCCTACGCCTTAGCGGGATATTCATATGGTGGTATGGTCGCCTTTGAACTCGCAAAGAAGATTGAAGCAGCTGGCGACGAAGTAAAGTTCATAGGTAGCTTCGACCTACCACCATACATTAAGCATGTCATGAGGCGACTAGACTGGACAGGGTGTCTTTTACACGTTGCATTTTTCTGTGACCTCTTTTCCGAAGACCGTGCTGATGAATTGGCACCTGAGATATGCCCCTTGCCTAAGTCAGAGCAGCTGGCACGAGTCATGGCCGAAGCGAACCCAGTCCGTAGGGCTGAGTTGGGAATAACACTTGCATCGCTGGATACCTGGACTGAAGTGACCTTCTCCCTTGCAAATATCGGCCGTAACTACGATCCATCCGGTACAGTTTCGTGTATGGACGTTTTTTTCTGTGATCCGTTGCGAGGAGTGGCAGCATCGAGGGAAGAGTATCGCTACA